TCCTCGTGTACATATACCTAGGAGGCGGGGGACTGTGCTCCGAGAGGCTGGCCCACTGAGTGTCCCCACTGGTCCCCAGAGACCCCCACATGTTATCACAAGGTGGATGCATTGAATTTTGAATCTTCTGGAGCCTCTGGTGTGTTTGCTTTTGCTTTCCCAACAAATTTCCTGGGCAACAAAAACAGATACATACTACGAGGCAGTAGAGGGTAATAGTCTTAGCTAAGACAGTAAGGCCACACTCACTATTTACTGGCTATATAACCCAGCCTCTTAGCTACCTCATTGTATATCAGTGTTCTCATCTCTAAAATGGGAGTGTTAAGTCTACCTACACCCTTGGTGTTGTTTGAGGAATAAATATCCAATGTTTCATACTTGACACAGGTATGTGTGTGTGAATATCCATGCACACATGTTCGTGCACACCACTATTAACCATGTGCCTTGGTCAAGTTTCTAACCCTCAATCTTTTCATAATTAAAATGAAAGAAATGATCAACTCCAGCACCATTCTGAAAATTATGTGGAACAATATCTACTTGATGCCTACCAGGCATTCACTAAAAATCAGATCCCTTCCCCGGCCCCACTTCAGTAACATAAGGGGCAGCAACACTCAGGCAAAGGGTATCAGTAATATTTAAACAGCTCACAAATACAGCCATTTTCCTAAGAACTGGAGTGTCAAATGTGTCAAGTTCTGATTTGACATTTTTCAAGGGCCTTCCACAAACCCAGCCCCGTGATTCAGAGAGGTTTAATAGGGAGTGAAGGATGAACCACACACGTCCTCGTTGTCCCCAACACTGAGCATGTGGCTTTGAAAAGAAGAGGTGACAGTGAAAGGAGAGTTACAGAATGAAGCTGATGGGATCTGGACTATGCAGCCTAGAAGCCTGGTGTCTAGCTTGCCTCCCCCTAGTGCCTCCAGCTAGAACCCCACACAGCTGGAGTTGGGACAGGCCTTCTTCTTCCAGGCCCCACCACCATGTCTACTGGGTCATCATAAGACCCTACATTTTCAGGAGCATGAGCAGCCCCACTTCCCAATGTGTGGGCTCAGAAGCTCATTGCCTTTCTCCTAGGATAAAGTTGCTATGATCTGAGTGGTCCTCCCCAAATTTATTGAACATGTGAATGAAGAGATATATATTTCACCATTAGCTCATCGACCAATGAATGTTGTAAGCCTAATGCCAAATGTGATGGTGTGAGGAGGCAGGGCTTTGGGAGATGCTTTGGTCACAAGGGTAGAGCCCTGTGACTGGAACTAGTGCCCCTAAAAAAAATCTCCAGGGAGACCCTTCGTGTCTGGTCTCTTCTACCACAAAGCTACAGCAGGAAGTTTGTGACCTAGAAGAGGCCCTCACCCAACCCTTCTGCACCCTGATCTTGGCTTTCCAGCCTCCAGAGCTGTAAGCAATAAATTGCTGCTATTGACCAGACCCCAGCCTGTGGTCATTTGTCACAGCAGCTGGAACAGACTAGATAAGGACACACCTTGAGCTGGGTGGCATGGTGACACTGTCGCCTGGCCTCCTGTGCTGCTGAGCCCTGACCTGTGGTCTGGGTGCTTGGGGTCCTATCTCAGGAACTGGGTCCTTTCCCTATAACTATTCCTGGGACTCCTTCAGGAGTAAACAGATGACTGGGATACAGACAGCCTCACCCATCCACTGGGATCCTCACAAGCTTTTTATTGGTGCCTGCTGATCTGACCCAGGCTACACACTCTGCACAGCACGGCTCGGTCCATCAGGCTATAGCGCCTCATTCATTTCTCTAGCAACCCCCCAGCCAACCATAGGCTTGCATTCAGTCTCTGCCTTACTAGCACTGCAGAGCCTCCAGATTATGGCATGTCTTCAGCCCAAGCCCAGACTATCAGTATTATCAGATGTCTTCATCTACCACTGCTGAGTTCACCACTCTCGAGGCAATTAACAAATTCTGTCTTTTGTCATAAGTATCTGTGGAGAATGGACCTCAAACAGACCGGATGCCGGGGCCCGTGGAGAGATGCTCCTAGGAAATCTGTCATTCTTCCATCACCCGGCTTTATGGGAAACACTTGTGAACTTATTGGGGTTGTTTACACCAGCTGTTTGCACCTGGTGAGCAAAGCGCATACTCTCAGCCTCCTCATCAATCAGGGGGTCTGGGGCAGGATGCCAGGCGGGTATTAGATGCAGCGTGAGAATGGCAAAGGCAGTCCCCATGCTGACAGGGTCCTTGTTCCATGAGGTAGCACGATCCATGCTCCATGTCCCCCCAGAGGCCCTGGGGACTCTGAAGTCTCCCCTTTGCCTGCAAGTCTGCTGTCCTCCCCTGTTTGTGTAGCCTATTTTCTGTATGTGCTCTGTGTCACCAGTGACAGTTCAGGCCTCCTCTGTGGCACCTCTCAGCCACTGACCTGTGGCAACTCAGTATGCCCACAAATCCTCTCATAAGCAGGCAGTGTAGAAAGGCTGATTAACAAATTCTCACTACAACCTTGGCTTACAGGATCCCTCACCTACGGGCCTTTCTGGAAAAGCATGTTCTGTCCATGTGAATGAAGAGAGATGTATTTCACCAAGAGCTCATTGCCCAAGGTGCGCTGAGGTCTGCTGGAGGCAGGCGTGCGGGCAGATGAAAAGGCACGTGAGACAAAGGAGCTATTCTCCAGGACACTGGAACCTGGCTGGAGCAAGTCACAGACTTCCCCTATCCACACGGCATCCAGGCCTTGGCAGGTTCCCTAAGCTCTTCTTTATTAGGTTGTCCTGGCCTGTGTGCTGTGAGCACCGGTGACACCTGCCACCTCCAGTCTGAACCAATTCAGGGCCCCGTGGCTCACTGCAGCCCTCCCTCTCGGACATGCCATCCACACAGTCTCTGTCACCCTGGGCCCTGGAGCATGTGTGAGGCACAGACCCTGCCCTGTCACCATGGGCATGCAGAGTGGGCCAGAGCAAACAAACGACCCCGTGCTGCACAAGCGAGAGCGTCAGATCAGCACCCTCCATTCCAAAGCCAAGGAAACACATGCAGATGCCAGAATATGAGATGGTGAGAGCTGAACTTGCGGCCAGTGGAGGGACATGCTCCACACTGTCCTGCCTGCAGCCCTGCCTTTGCTGCGCCTCTTCCTAGAGCCCCCCTCCAGACCTCTGGAGCTTAGGGCTCAGCTCTGATGTTACTCCCTCATAGGCCCTTCCCAAGCAGCTGGTCCAAACTGCATGACCCCAAACCACTACCCCATCACCCTGTTTGCTTTCTCACCCTGCATGATGGGCAGGTCACTGTCCCTCTCTCCCTTCCTCTGCTGCAAATGGTGAGGACAGGGGCCTGTCTTCCCTGTGCCCAGCTGCCCCAGCACCATGCCTAGCACAATCAGGGGCTCACTCAAACTCTGAGAGTGGACAACAGTGAACTCTCTACCCAAGATATTCAGAAACAAGTGGGGGGCACTCCCTGAGGGCTGAGTGTCCAGAAAAGCATTCAGAGAGGAGGCAGGCCTGGCGAGGCCCTCTCTGAAGGGGAGGTCGCTGGGGGTGCTCCAGCAGTTACAGCAGGCTGAGCAAGACATGGGGCGGGGGCAACACACGGTGACTCTGGGGAGACTGTGAGTTGAGTGGGTGGGCTGCGGTGGAGGAGGGCCGGGGGGAGAAGGTGGATGAGAACCTCGAGTGCTATTTATACCTGATCTCAAGAAGCAGCTCTCTGCGAGGGCTGACTGCAAACGGTGTCCCCAAACCCACTGTTTGAGAGAAGCTGACTGCGCAGGGATTTCCAAGATAATTTCCGAGCCCACAGAGAGAGGCTAGAGACCAGGGCAGGGCCATTAGGCTGGGACAGCAGCCAGACACAGACATGACTATGGGAGGAGGGAGGGCGAACTCCTGGTTGTCCATTCGTTCCCACCTCTTGCACCCTCACCTGTCTGGTCACTCAGCTCTGAGCCTCCAAAACCTCCCCCAGGCCCCACAGTGCTGGAAGCTCTTCCTTTCACTTCTATAGGCTCCCGCGGTCTACCACTCAATACACTGAATTAGGATTCCCTGCTTGTTATCTCAAAAGGTTTTTGACTCGGGAATTCAGATAACACTCACAAATATGTGAGGAGAGCAGAACTGCCGTCTAGATGGTAAATAGCCTCTGTCGACACAGAGACACAGGTCAGGGCTGCTGCGGGTGGAGGCCAACAGGGGAAGGTGCTAAAAGAGTCCCTGGATTCCTGGCCAGGAAAGGGAAGACCTCATATCCTTAATTCAACATGTCCAAGGTCCATGAGAGTCAGAGACTCCGAGCCTGGCAGTCAGACAGAGAGAGAGGGGTGCATGGAGGCCACCCAGAGAAAATCTGACGAGGGAAGGGTCTGACTTTCTGCCCCCCGCCCCCCGCCCGTCTAATCGGCACAAGTGCCAAAAAGGGGCACTTGGGCAACAGCAGGCTTCGGCTCAAATGACATGTCTGAATGCTGAGGACACTGCATTTTCCTCACTGGCTTAGAGCTTGGGAAGTCTGATATGCCTCTTTGAAGTCTGCTCAGTGCGTGGGGAATGTGTGGATTTTCTGGGGCCTCTGACAATACGGGGATAGATAAGACCCTCTTGGGCTCAAGTATCAAGAGCCTTTCTCCACTTTATGAATGGTGCTGGGAAAATGAGAGCTTCGGTTCTGCACACTGGAACAGGAAGTGTCGAGTCTCTCCTGTTCTGGGGTGAACAAACAGCCCCCTGGCTGATGTTAGGGGACAGCGAAGCAATGGAGTGAGCCAGAAGACCGCCGCCGATGGGGTACAGGAAGGAGCTCTGTCTGCAGGGGGTGTCCCAGGCAGGCCCTCCAAGTATGTAACCACTGCACGTCCTCACTGCTCCAGTTCAGATGCACCATTCCAGCCATCTTGTTCCCACCCCTTTGGGTCATTACCTCCAAAGACCACGCACACACTGAGTTGACCAAGCTCAAGAGGGGGTGAGGGCAAACATGGGGTCTGGGAAGACAGTACCGATTTTGGTGAGCCACTTGGCCACGGCGCCATAGATCTCGTCCAGGATGAGGATGACTACGAGGTTGATGATGACCGCTGTTGCAGTCACCGTCACCCGGACATTGGAGCGGGTGGCCTTGTTGAGAGACAGTGCAGCTTTAGTTGTGATCCGATACACGATGACCCCAAAGACGATGGAGAACGTCAGGGCAATCTGTTCAGGTGAAACACATGGGCACACTTCAGCAGGCAATCATGGAGCACCTTTTGTTTGCTTGGCCAACAGTACTATTTGCTACGTCAGGTGTTACTCATCTGGAGTCCACTGGTGGTCAAAAAGGGAACTGCAAACCCTCTGAACAACTCTGCAAATTCTGAATGCAGGTGCATTCTCCAGGGGGCAATGCCTGCCACTTTTATCAGATTCCAAATGGCCTACAATAAACACACACACACACACACATAATGAAGACGCCTGCAGCATACAACACACATGTTGTGATTTCTTTCATTAGAGGGCTTCCCCCTACTGTGGAGCTAAGATGAACTCCTATTAAACCCTAGTAAATAATACCAAGAAGGCACTCATAAGGGCTAAATGAAAAGTGGGGTGCTAGAGGCATTGAGAGCTCAGAGGAGCAAGTAGACGTGTGCAGTCAGGGAACAGTGTGCAGAGCAAGTGGGATTTAAGCTGGGCCTTCCACACAAGGAAGCAGGAGCCGCTGAAGGTGTTTGAGCTGAGAGGGGATGAGTTAGAGCTTGATGGTGAGGGCTCAGGAAGGCTGCCCAAAGGAGGAAAAATGGAGAGAAGCCAGGAGGAAGGCCTGTAGACTCTCAGTCTTAGGTGAACACAATATCACTCTAAAATTTCTCCACCAGGCAGTTTGAATGAGGACTCAGATTTCTCCTTTGGTATAGAAATCTCTGGCTGCCTCGTTTAAAAGGAAAGCTTACCAGCCACTTGACCTTCTAAGGGCCCCCCATTTCCTCTCTCTAAAACCTAAGAATAATAAGGCTCTTTCCCAAATCAGCCCAACAGCCCCTCCCTCTTCCTCTACCCCCCCCACCCCCCGCCTCCCGCACCACAGCCACGGAAAGGCCACTTCCATGAAGCACGTGGTGCTGGCAGAAGAACGTGCCCCTGAGCCAGGAGTGAGGGAGCCTCTCAGAGGGGCTGGGGGCAGAGAGCGAGTTGCTGCCAGGTGGAAAACCTGCTCAGAGAAAAATTCTAATTTGTCTCAGTCAAGTGAAGTCTTTCTGAGGATTCTTTCTGCAAAGCAGGCTGTTCAGGTTCTATTTCCTCTGGGGGCAGGGGATGAGGGTACTGGCTGTAGAGGGTGGAAGGAAAATGTGGGGAGATAAAGGGACAGGTAGAAAGAATTCCTCTGAAAAAAGTAAAGTGTCCTGGACTGCACATTGCCTCCCTGGAGGGGACAGGAGGCGGGAGGGAGGTGGGGGGGGGAGGGGCTCTGGCTTGGGCAGTGCTTTGCAAGCTGTGTGAATGACACTCTGGTGGGCTGCGAATAGGGAATGAGTTGCAGGTGTGTCTTCAGACCTCTGGCCGGGGTGCCTGGGAGAGCTGCAGCTTGGGGTGCTGGGGGCAGCCTCAGCTGTTTATCCCCATGTGCTTTACAAATATTAGAGTTTGTCCTGTGGCCATGGTATGAAAAAGAAGCCCCTGGTTACAAAGACAGGGAGGCAGCGTTCTCTGGGTAGTTTGTGTGTGTGTGTGTGTATGTGTGTGCATGCTTGTGTGTCAGGGTGGAGAAGAGGTTAGATGGAAAAAGCACTTGTGGGAGGCCCCTCCTCTGACGCAGGGTGGGGGTGGGAGCAGCAGAAACGCCAGCCTCCCGTGCTGGGGAGGAAGGACTACCATGGAAGTGGGGAAGCCTGGACATGACATCACCCCTCGCCAACAATGCAGACATTTTCACTTCCCGTGCCTCTGGGATTGTCACTGCCAGACAGTAAGGGCCTGGAAAATGTGGTGTGAGATTCTTTTCCCCCAAAATCACTTTTGCAGTGAAGGTCAGTGATGCAAGTATTGATGAGGTGGGGGAGGCCAGGGCATCTAAGAGTGAGTGTGAGTGTGTGTGTGTGTGTGTGTGTGTGTGTGCATGCGTGCACACGTGTATGTGTTTTTGGAGTTGGGATTGGGGAGAAAACAATGATGGCAAAGAGATAGTTCGCTTGAGGCTCTTGGGGTGGGGCTTGGAGGAACATGAGGAGGTGACCTTCTAGTATCCTCTAAGAGGCCAGCTGCTGAACTGGGGAAGGAAGAACACTTGCTAGTCAAAGTCTGATCCATGGGCTGCTACATCAGCTGGGAGCTTGATAAGCACACAGGACCCCCAACACTACTCCGGACATTCTGACTTGGAATGTGCCTTTTAGCATGATTGTCATTCAAGTTGAAATTTCAGAATTTCAGAATTTCAGAATTTCAAAATTTCAGAATTCTACTCACTTAGGAATGTCCTTTTCCTGCCCTCCATTCCACAGGGCCCATCTCCGCCCCACCCCTCCCCAGCCCTCTAATGCTGTTCTTTATGCTCTTAACGTCACTGCTCTTCATTTCCCATCCAGGATGGAAATCATGTCTGGACCCTGTCCTCCTGGGTTTCCCATAAGCACCTCAAGACTCACAGCTTCCAAGCTGGAAGTTTCAGAGCCAATGCAGTCCCAACGAGATTTTGCAGAGGAGGACACAGACACAGAACATGAAGTTACTGGTTCAAGGTCATCGGCATGGACTAGAACCCTGATCTCCTAGCATTTAGGAATCATCTATGTTCAGTCTCTGATCTGACATGTTGGGAATTGAGGCCCAGGAAGCAAGCATATGATTGGTCCACTGTCTGGAGGCTATGTGGAGGCTCTCTGGAGAGGATGATGGTGGGGCTGTCATCACCAATGACAGCGATGCATGTGTGCCCTCGCCTGGTCGTTACTCATGCCTATGTCCATTGGCACTAGTCCTTATAACACCCATGTGAGACATGCTTTTTGTGGATGCCATTTAGTGATGGTCCACAATTTGGACCCTCTGTTATGACTCCCAAGTGTGTGAACCCATTCTGACATTAGAATTCAGGTCTGGCACCAAGTCCAGTACTTTTTCACCACCGTGGCCGCATTATTGATTTTCTGACCACTTATTGTGCTGCTCTGTTTTGTGATGGATCTCCCCCAACTAGGCCAGAAGTGGGGCTGGGTCTTTCACTGCATTCCATGCCTCAGGCCATTTCATGGAGGTTCCTCCTGTGTACAACTTTTTGTTCAAGACTTGCTGATCCTCAGCACTCGGCAATCCCAATTCCCAGCACACGGTCACATGTGACCCTTGTTGCTGTTGGTGCTTTAATCCCATAGTTTGACTTTCAAAGCAAATTTCAGTATCAGCCCGGCCAGAGAGTCCAGAGTCCTATTTGACACTATGAGAGAGACTGGAAAGAGCTGGCCTGACCTGGGCCCCCAGGACCTGCATTCTGACACTGAGCTGACAAAGCCCAGGCACTTGGACATCAAGGGTGAGCCCGGTAGCAGCTGGACAGAGTCACAGCTGCAGTTTATGAGCTTCTGGTAAGCTCTGAGCAGGGTGCAGAGGTGATGACTTAGAGAAAACTCTGTGGAGTCAGCTTTGGGGCAGTTTCACAACTATGGGAGAGACTCAGAGGGATGAGGAGGAGGAGGAGCTAGAAATACACAAGGCAGAGCAATCTCTGCTGAACCAATGGCAAGTGTCCGTTCTAGGCCAGGCCACATGCTAGTAGATCAGTCTAAAAATACATGCAGTAACGATTTTATCATTAACATAATAAAAGTGTCTCTGACATCTGCTTCATTCATTTATGTTCTTAGTTATTCACAAAATATGTCTTGAGCACCTACTGTGTGCCAGTCCCAGGTCAAGGTGTCAAGGATACAGTAGGGAGCAAAACACACACACATTTCTGCTCGAGGGAGTGAGGGAGTTGACCGAGGGATGGACAATCCAAATAAATAGGCAAATTACACAGCCTATCGGTAATGATGAATATAGAAACAAAACAATGCAGGGCATAGGGGATGTTGCAATTTGGATTATTGAGAAAGGCCGAGGTGAGCAGGACCTAAAGGGAGAAACAAGAGGAAGAGCTTCAGGGGGAGGGAGGCTGGAGCAGAATGAGCAAGAGGGAGAGCTGGCAGGGAGCTGGGGGATAGAGAGGACACTAGACTGGTCAGCCCTGCAGTGTAAGGCTATCAGCTTCCATGCTGTATGAGAAGCGCTTAGAAAGTTTTGAGGAGTTGCCTGCCATCGTTTGCCAGAGATTTTTTAAAGTCGCAGTGATACAGGAGTTCCAGAACTCCAGTCTGGAATACTGGAAGGCATCTATCCATAAGGGAGGGGAAAGTTGTCTTACAGACCCAAGTTCATTTCTCTGAGTCTCATCTCCCCCAGGTCTTCTTACTTCTGGTACTGGAGTCTTATCTACCAAGGTGCCTAATAATGGCCTGCTTCCACTTTATTGATCTGACTCCAGTAGGAATCACTCTCCCCTTCTTTGCCCTCCCTGATGCAATTGAGACTATGTAGAGCTTTCAAAGAGGCCCTCCCAAAACCCAGGGAAATAAACAGAGCACTGGGGAAACTAAAGAATCAGTTTACAGAGCCCAAGATGGCTGCCTCCTGTGGCTTCCAGACACTAGTTTATTTCACCACCCATGAGAGAGAACCAGTCCACAGTCCAAATAGGCTGCCACAATTCTACAGCCATCTTACCTGGGTGACGTCTTCCCAGGCCTTGGCCTGTCTCAATGTGGAAGGCACCATCTTAACAACCACCAGCATCAAAGCTGTGTGGTCAAGGCTGGGAAGACAGAACCCTTTCTAGGCTCCCTCTTCTACCTAGAAGAGAGAAGTCCTGTCGACAGCCAATGAAGACCCACCCCCAGGTCCAGTTTTCTATCTGAGGGAACAGGGAACCTTCCCCTTTTCAAGATGGATGACAGCAGTAGTGGCCTCACTTTTAGATAAGCTCCAACCCCTCGCTATAGGACTGTGCCTTCATCCTTATTCACCCCTCATTTTCCACAGAGAACAAAATAATACACCCACACATTCACACAGCAGGACCTATATGCATATGTCGCATGCGGGTGTTCCCGAGAGGAAATTACCATGAACAGGATGGAGGCAAAGTTCATCAAGTAACCTGGGAATCGATCTTTCCAGTTCAGCTTATCTTCATCATCATCCTGGGGAGAAAGAGCAGAGCAGAGACAATCAGAAGGCACAAATCACAGATATTTGTTTTCTCTTCATTTGCATAAATTTGCGTACCTTATGTGACTTATTCCAACACACACAGATACTTTTCTAGCCTCTGACACCTTACGTCCATATCAACAATACCCCTCCTCCTACTTTTGTGATTCTAGATGAACTGACATGGCCTGGGAGAACTACGGTGAAAAAGATCAAGATTTGATTTCAGCCTGACTGAGAGGCTCGGTCACTTATCAGTCGTGGGACCTTGGAGGTGGCCCTTGCATTTCTGACACACGAGTTCTTCATCCATCAAACAGGCACACTAGGCACATGCATGACACCGTGATGCCCACCACACAGGATGGAAGCATTTGTTCTGTTTTCACGAGAAACACATGAACCAGGTAAAGCCATGGTGAGGTGACATACAACTTGCCCCCAGGAGAGCATCCTTCACCAGCAGCCATAGTTCCTAATATGTGTATAAATTACCCACAAGGTTTGTTCATCAAAGAACTCTCTGTGATGTCATTTGTTTCCCACAAGGTGACTGTGCTCGCCCTGGTCACAGAGCAGACATTTCCAAGTGCCATTGACAGACTGATGCCTCTCAGGCATTCTGGCTGAGAATCCCCTGTTCCCTCCTCAGACAGTACAGTTCATCCAGACCACCCTCCTGGGACAACCATATCACCGACCACAGCCCCTTCAGCATCCTCTGAGGACCCTCATTCGGCACGGTGATGGGGATAGAAATAAGGTTGGTAGGGAAAGAAATCTCTTCCAATTCTTTATCACTTTAGTTCAAGCACTTGATTCCTCTGCACTTTTTAGTTCTATACACTTAAAACTCAGTGCCCTGTCTGCTACCTTAGCCGTGGAGACAACCATGTGAAGCCATGTTTATGAAGATGGGTGAAAATAGCAAAGCATCTTCTAACGGAAAGACTGGAATCCGCCACACTTCAGCAGAGTGTCTGAATCAAACCAGTAAGCAAAGGTTCCAGGCCCCTCCTCTACTTGCTCTTCCCTCCTCAGCGCTGTTTCGGAACACACCTGACTTGGCTCTGGCAACAGTGCCATCTAGCCTCTGAAAGCTTGTACTGTAGGCAAAAGACCCTGACCTAGAAGACTTCTTTCTAAAAATTGTTTGTGCACCACAGTGTGTGAAGCCCTTGGGGTCAGGCATGGTGAGGAGACAGAAGAAAGTGGACATGATCAGTGTCCCGGGTTGGGGGAGACAGGGGGTAGGGGGAGGCTCATGGTCTAGTGAGACAGGTGACACCCACACATACCAGAAAGGCTCAAGGCCACATGCTGCTTTGAGAGTGAGGGTTATCCTGGCAGTGGGATAGAGGAAAGGAAGGTTAAGTCTCTTAATGCAAGTCTGGGGCACAGGGTTGGGCTGATTTAATAGATGGTGGTGGAAATGAGCATTAAGGCTGAAGACGTTAGTAATTAGCATTTACTGACACATAAGCAGGTAATGCTCAGTCTCCCAAGGGCTTAAGCGACAGGATCGTATCTCTAGATTCCTGGCCTGCAGACCCTCCATCACACAAGGAGAGCAAGGTAATGCCAGGTGGGGGCCATTCTGAACGTGGGGTGGCCTCGACATCTGTTTCTCTTGAGACTGGAACAAGACTCATTCACATTCTTTCACATGAGGCCAGACACCAAGAGGAAGGAGCATTCTTTTTCCTTCAGTTTAAAGGAAGTTTACTCACACTCCTGGTATTTTCCTTTCAGATTCTGATGAGAATAGCTAAGGATGGGCTGGTGAATAACACGCAATGCAATAGGGATTCTGAAAGGACATATGAATTACGGGCTGGCTGGACTCTTTCTGAGGCTGTCCTCATCACAATTAAGGTTTAGATGATTTGAGGCCTCTTTGGTGGCGCAGGGGTTAAAGTCTCAGCACTATCAAGCCATCCGCAGTCACTGAGTCACGAGTTATATCCCAAACCAGGGAGCTACGCACATGGCACAGCAGACCTCTCCTGTCTCATCCGCTGCTCCCCTCAGCAGTGTATTTCAGTCAATCTGCCTGTTTTGCTCCCCATCCTGTCTCTGGTGAATCCTCTCACCCCCACACCGCTGGCCTATACCCCAGTTCTCGTATGCATAAATAAATAAAAATAAATCTTTAAAAATATTTTCTAAAAAAAGGTTTAGATGATTTTCTGACTCTTCCTCTTGGGCATGGAGACAAGAGGTTCTTCCTTAACCCCTGGCCACCTAGGTTCTGAAATACCAGTGGGTGAGTAGAGAGGAAAAAGCTCCAGTCTCAGGTTCCCTGTGACCAGCACCCCCCCCCCAGTGAGCTATCTGGGGGTGGCATAGGACAAGGAGAGGAGGAAAAACTATGCTGGCCTTTGAGATGAGGGCACCAGTCAGCAAGGGGGAGCTGGCGCAGGTGGCACTCAGGGTGGGGTTAGCGCTGGAAGAAATGGGGGAAAGAGAAAATATAGGCCAGGATGAAATGGGAGAGGGTGACCAGTGAGCCTATGGGAGCGGCCGGGTATCCTAGATGGTTTGGGCCAAGCTTTCCTGCCCAGACCTGGGACCAAGGGGGTGGGATGTCTGTACCAGTCTACCCTGCAGTGACCAGATTGTTCTGGAAAATGAGTTCTGGTTCAGTTCTCTGCAAACACTGTCTGACCAGGGTAGAGAGACCCGGCTCCCAGCTGCATATTGAGGACCCAGTAGGAGAAGGTTCAGCTGCCCGGAAGGAGCTCAGGCCCTCAAGTAATAAGGAAAAAGATTTCAGAGCCAATCCTGGCAAGGAAGGGGACCTTACTGTTTTGCATAAAAATGAGACATCACTAGAAAGCAACTGAATTAGATGCCCTGTCAACACAACCATTCAAAAGTAAAATACTCATTTTGATAAAGCTGTTCTAGTGTTTGTTGAAAAGTCACCCCCTTTTGTGTTGACATTGATAAGACCTTTTTTCTGGAAGTCATAGCTCCCACTAGACACACAGTTCTCATACATTCAGACACTGTCCAAACACAAGAGGCTGAGAAGACACAAAGACTCGACCGCCTGCCAGGTTCCCAAAGTTACTAGCGGAGAAGACTGAGCAAGGCAGCCTTCACACACCACGTAGAGTAACCAGCTCTGGTAAGAGATGCTCATTCAAACTTGCCACACACATTAAAAGAGCAACGATGCAGGGCAACAAGTTATTCATTTAAATAAAATCTGCATAAAAGTCACATAACCAGGACATGGGATAATAGAAAGAGAAATAGATTTGGGACCAGAATGTTAGAGTTTAACTCTTGACCATATTAGTTAATTAGTTAAAACTCTTGGCTCATTACTCATTAAATGATCTTGGAAAATTGGCAGGACCTAAGTTTTCTCAGCTGTATAGTATATTCCTTATCTATAAATATATAAAATAGTAGTATCGAAGACGCCAAATGTTAAACTACACAGAGAAATTTGAGCATCACCCCCCTTAAAATGGAGGTGACAACATCTGCCCCCCCAGGTGGATGCCCGAGAGAGCTTTGTAACCTAAAAGGCATCATACAAAAGTGAAGTCTACCTAGCTGTGTGATGGTACCAGAAGCAGGTCATTAGCAAGCACTTAGCTCACGTCACCACCTGCAGATGTGAGCGTAGCTTTCCTCTGCACTTGTTTCTTTGCTCTGCTGTCTCGTGTCTGTCACAGGACTATGGCTTAAGCTTCCGAGTCTCCAAGCACCACGGAGCACAGTGATATTCACATAAAACCATAGATGTGCCCTTGTGGCACACTGAGCAGTTGGAAATGAAATCACCGAAAATGCAGTGACAGGGGAGAACACTGCTTTAAAAATCCTTTGAGAGCCATTCTGAAAAGTGACCAATCACCCCTCAGCTGCTGTTGTTTCTGTTTTCATTGGTTAATGAAGGTATAATTTACACATGGCAAAATTCACCTCTATGCCTATGCAGTTCCCTGACTTATGATAAACAGAGATTGGAGTGTAATAAGGACCATGGTTAAGCTCTCGAATAATCCCATCACCCTCAGTAGCCCCTCTGCCCTCTGTGGTCAATCTCATGCTCCAACGCTTAGCTCCTAGCAGCTTTTGTTTCTGTCCCTTTCATTTTACCTTTTCCAAAGTGTCATGAAGGCTGATGCACACAGTGCAGAGCCTTGAGTCTGATCTTTCACTCAGCATCATGCATCCAAGCTTCCTCAGCACTGTTGCATGTCTCAGGAGCTCATTCCTTGGGGTTGTTGAGTAGCACCTCGTTATAAGGTTCCACCACTGATGGGCTACCCACTCACTAGCTGAGAGATGTGTGAATTTTTACCGGTTTGGGGGATTATGAATAGAGCAGTTAGAAGTACTTGTGTACCAGATTTGGTGCGAGCGGAGGTTTTCATTTCATTTCAATTCATTGAGCAAAAACACCAAGCAGTAGGAGGGCTGAGTCACAGGGCAAGTGTATGTTTGATTTGATAAGCAAATGCAGGCTGACTTTACTATTTTGTATTTTCACCTGCACCATGAGGATTTCTTCATCTTCTTGTTCATTTTAAAATAGCTTTAGATTTACAGGAAAATTCCAAAGATAGTGCAGAAACACACCGTCTGTACCCAGTGTCCCCTATTGTATTAGATTGAGCACAGTTTTCACAACCAATGGACTAACATTGTACATTATTATTAACAAAAGTTGATACTTTATTTGGATTTTCTTAGTTTTTACCTAAGGGCCAGGATCTGTTCCCAGGTCCCATTCAAGACATTACACTCAGTCCTCATGTCTCCTTTGGCCCCCCAGACTATGGTCGTTTCCTGATGGCTGATGACCTTGTCACTTTCGAGCAACACTGGCCAAGTCCACTGTGGAATGGTCCTCCTATGGGTTTGTCTGAAGTTTTTATCATTACTCTGAAGTTATGGGTTAGGGGGAAGAAGACCACAGAGATAAAGTGCCACTTTCACCACATAATACATAGCAAGGATGATCTTT